CAAGCGGAGGAAAATAAGAAAAAACAGAAGGAAGTCTTTGCACCAAACGAAAAATGCAGAGGAGCTGCTTGGGCAACCACTTTGGACTCGGTGGTCGGGCGGCAAAACTTTTGTCAGCTGTTTGTAATTTAAATGTGCAAAGTTACACAAAGTCTCCGGGTTATTCGAGTGGAAACGGAGCAGCTTCAATGCGCATGCGCAGAAGGGTTAAATAGGGAGAAGAAGGTTGGGCAAGCTCACGAAAGTCGAAGAAAGCCCATTGAAAAGTGTTTTGGGGGGACTGTACCATTGAGGGTATTACGATAGTAGATGTTTATATTTAAGGGTTTTACATAGATGGTGTTTTTATGATTTCCTTGAACAACTTGTTGTTAAAAAAGAAATCCCTTGATGACCCTTCTACAAGTATTATTTCCAGTACAACCTCAACTCGCTCTGTGTGAATTGCAGAATATCTTATTACGGCAACCCTCACAACCTCTCCCCATCTTTATTTTTCGCTGCTCATAAAGCCGTGACATGAAGTCATGCTCCTCATACCTTTCGAGTTACCTCAGATCGGGGGAAATTGCTTCCCGTGGGCGTGTGGGAATGAAGTGGCTTCGACTTTGGCTTTGGCTTCTCGGCCCTCTTGATTCTGCCTTGGAACTGTCGCAGCTAATTTTATGCTGCCTGTGTGCTGGGTAATGCATGGTAGAATTCGAAGCGGGTGTTGGGTTCACTGCGCACAAATTGGGTCACACATACACACACATATCTCGACTTCACATGCAACTCGAATCCAACTCCAAAGATGCAATTAAAAATCTATTTTTAAAGCCCGAACCAACGAAACCGCAAAATAATGTATGTGATTTTTTATTAATTAGGGGATCTTAAAAATCAATCAGGTAGCTTGCATAATTTACGGCAATCTTGAAACCATTTTGGGCTGCCTTTCGTTTTCTGCCATACAATTTTTACGTTTTTGCTTTGTTCCGCTAATGAAAATGTCGCCAAACTGTAGCAACCCAACACTCAATGATTGCCTTATTTAGGCCGTGTTTGGTGTCCAATAATCGTTGAACAAAAAAACACGAATATCAATGAACCAGTTGCCAATAGCGATTTTGGCCAAACCAAAACGCCCCCAAGCCGTGTGTGAGCTCACTTTATACACTCATTTGTACGCTCGCGACATGATCTCATTCCAATTGCAGCTCGGATTAAGCTTCTAGGAATTTTATATTTCATTTTATGATATGTGAAGTTTTTTTTTATACCCATTTTAACACTTATTTTGTTCTGCTCACCGCAGAGCGATAAGAAAGACTATGAGTGTATGTTAATTAAGTTTGTGAAAGCGTTTCAAACATAACAATCGTGCCCAGCTCGATTCCCTCAGACGTGTGGAGAATTTTAAGTTGAAAGATCAGAGCTTTCAGTGGCTTCTAAAATGCGTCGCAGCTGGAGCTGAACCCATTAGGGTTTTTTTTGTTTTAAGAGTGTAGCGGTTTTAATAAAAGTACTGCTAGACGAGAATAAAACGTTTTGATCTATGTTACGTCTAAGAGATTGTGGTTAACTACTTTTCTTAATTATAGTTGAGGTATTAAGCAATGCCTTATAATGTCCGTTGCCCAATATATTTCCATATCCCACAATCTAAATTCCTTTTCCTGATCCCTTACACAGTTTGACACTCACTCTTGACTTGTGACATTTGTGATTTATGCGATTTTGATTTAAGCACTTCAATCTCGAGTTTGGCCTGTGTTTTTGCATCACCCTCGGAGACGGGAATAAATCATGTGGGGAGTGGGCGTTCTGCACTGGGGGATTGGGATTTGTCGCCATATACACCACTTATACATATATCTCCTTTTCTCCCTACATTTGTCTCACGTGCGTAGACAACATACATAAATCAATCACTCGGGGGAACTCGTATGTGTCACACTTTTTAAGCTGAGCAATGTGAACTGCATAAGATATTCAGAAAAGCTGGAGAAAAAAGGAATAATATTACAGTATTAACAGTTTGACAAGCGCTGACTCATATCCTTCCCCTTAACCTTAGCTTTTTTAACCCTCTTTTAGGGGCCCCCGATGCTTCCTGTGCCTTTGTGATACTTTGTTTTCAATTCGGTTTTTTTTTTTGGGGTGTGAGAACGACGAGGGCGTTGAAAATACAAAATGCACATTTTTAATGACGCCCGCCTGCACTTGAACAGCAACAATAAAAACAACGAGGCAACGTTGTTGACTTTGGCAACGTCGCAGGATTTATGTATGTGTTTTTTTTTTGCACATATGGAGGTGTCCAAAAGAGGAACTGCTGCCCTTCGCCTTATGCAAATCGGTTGTTCAATGCAGGAGATGACTTTGCCAGGGGCTGCCCCATCCACTCGTTGCAAGTCCCTCTTCGCTTGCCACTACCCCATTAACCTCGAAATGAGGCAAGTTTACAGAGAGAAAAAATACTAGTGTTGGGATAAAAAAGATTAAAATACTGAAGGACGCAAACTTAATGGGTTTGTTGTTTCTAGTGGCTTGTCTAATCATATTAATTTCTGGTTATATTATTACTAACTTAAATCTTAGTTCTCTGTGTACTTTGTGCCCCTCTTCAGGTTGCCATATGGCTGTAGTTCCTACAGCTTCCCCCTCACTTTAGTACCTTTTCTGCGTTCTATATATGTTCTTTTCTGCTCTTTTCTGAGCTCGTAACACTTTTCCACATCTTGTGGCTCGTGTACTCGTAGCCGCTGAATGTAATCCGCTTAAGTTCCTCGGAATCGGCACATAAACATCATCATCGGCATTATGATTGTCATTATTGTTCGGGGCGGGAAGCGGAATGATCATTTGCCAGAAGCGAGTTTCTTGTTCTGCACAAGTTCTACATTCGTCATGCTTTCCACTTTATTACATTTAACTTTGGCATTTTCCGGTTTGTGTTGTTGTCTTGTCTGTTTGTGCTTAATACTTACTACTCTGGCAGCCTCCGCCACAAATGGTTTCCTAATTAGATCTCATAGAACAAACCAAAACTAAAACCAATTGCCAAAGTGGAAATCTTGACAAATTAACTGAAGGGAAAACAAAGATAGATGGGGGAGGGGGGCTAGAATTTTCCCTATTAGATGAGTCACTTGTCCGTCGACTTCTTTTGTTGGCTTATCCAAACTAACTATCTATTTTCGGGGTTCAGCCATTTACCAATTTTCTCATTTCCCACTTCCCCTTCACCATTTACCATTTAGGCAAACATTAAAAGGGCAACCGCCCTCAGCAAATGAAGCCAACTAAGCGTGTGACGTGACCGACTCTATGAGCAATATCTGCTGCTGCTGCTGCAACTATCCCATAGCTCCAGTTTCCATTTAATTCCCCGCCCCATCGACCGTCTAGGGTTACAACAAAATTTATTAATTTTCCTCAATTGCCACATTCGTTTTGTTTGTCTGCAAAAAGGGAGTTAGTGTAGGAAATAAAACTGCATTTGCATTTGCATATTTCGTTTGGTTCACACGATACAGATACAGATAGGTAGATAGATACACATACTCGTGAATGCTTGAGCGATGGATGTCAAAATCCATTGGATATGCACCCAAATGACTGACAATGCAATTCATTAGCGGTGCAGTCAGTTGACTGGAAACTCGGCTTGAATGGCGCACAACGCGAATTTGAATAATCGAATCGGTTAACCTTCAATCGATTGCAGAAGTGAGAGGCGGCTAGCAGTGCTTGTCAAACTGTGACAACTTCCTTGGCTCATTATTTCCATTTATCCACCTCCTTCTTTTTCTTTCTACCCGTTTTTCCTACTTCCTTTGGCTCATTATTTCCCGGCCATCAGCTGCAGTTGCAATTGGCAGCTGGCAGACTATTAAATCAAGGCACGAACTATCGATGAACCCAGAAACCCCCCTTAACCCCCCGTTAACCCCTTTGGGTACGTGCCACATTTGGCTGCAGGCCAGCGCCCTAAAGTGCAACAAAAGAATCCCAGAAATGGAAAAACTGTTTGCAAATAAAAGAAAACTTTTTAATATGCTTGCTTGCTTAGGAGCAACGGGGTTAGGGCGAGGTTAGTCGGGGGTTAAAAGGGGTGAGGTCGACCAGACAAAAGCTTCGAGTGGCGCCAGGAATTGAAAAGGAAATGCTTGGAAATGAGAGGAATGGGAGCGGAGCCTCCCTGTTCATGTCAAATGAAAATGTTGGCTTAATGTTATCAAAAATTCAACCCAATCCCATGGAAGTTTCCCTCTCTCTGCGAATCCATCACGTAATCCATGAGGCCACGCCCATTCCACCCACTGCCATATTTGTTTGGCGCTTTTCGCAAATAGTTTGTGCCAACAAAATTGCAAAGGCATCGACAGTCTGCGCACCACCACTCCATCGGCGAACCAACTGCACCACTCTGCCATTATCCAATCCATCCACATGGCTCGAGGCCGGGGCATTTGCATATGGAGGAGGCGAAGGGGGGTTTCACTGACGATAATTGCATGAAATTATAATGCAGCCGTGCTGCAGAGCCTCTAATTCCGCCCCGTCGGCGTGTGGGAGGCTCCACTGTGGCACCCACCCACACGAGAAACAGACCCCCAGTTGTGTGTAGAGAGTGCCACACATGGATCTTTGGCACACTATCCCGCTGAACAATCAAGACAGTTTTGTAGTCGCAGAGAATGGCTGGGGAAATACTATATTTATTTCCGCTAAGGATTGACTTTCTCTGAAATTAAATATGAAAATAATACAAAATATGAGGATATGATGATAAAGGTATCAAAATTCTCAAATATATTATATTTGACTATCTCTTAAAATAAATTTAAAAATAATAATAAATATGAGGATATGATGATAAAGGCATTACAATTCTTGAACAATAATATGAAAGTTTACATATTTTTATAGTTAATGATGCTCTGCTGCCAATCAATATTTTCTGTAAAATCTTTAAACGATTTAAACTAATTAATAACTTATTTTTCTTACAGAACCACCACCGCGGCAGTAATACGAGTGAGGAGCGCGTGCCCCAGCCGCATTCGCCCCACGACAGCCACGCCCATCCGCACAACAACGGTGGGCTGCAGCACTCGGGATCGCGGGCGACACTGCGCCACTCGATGAACCACTCGAGCAGCTCCACAGTCTCGGGCTCCGCCTGCAGCTCCACGCCCGCCTCGCCCCAACTAAGTGGGGTGGTCAGCGCCTCCGGCTGCCAGCTGCTGTCCAACGGACACCACTACCAATCTCAGTCGTCGGTGAGCTCCAACTCCTCGATCGTTTCGGCCATTCCCGCCTCGCAGAGACTGCTGGAGGAGGCTCTCGGCAAATCGGCCCCCTATCCCATGATCATGTTGCCCCTGCACGGCGGCTACTGGATGGATGGCACCGAGCACGAGTGCGGCTACGATCCGCGGGGAAATCCCCTGCTGCCGCAGACCACCTGGATGGCCAAGTTCGAGACGGACGACACGGCCAAGTGCTATCGCCGGTTCTACGCCGCCAGGGAGCATTCGAATTTGATTGGGCAGGATGAGCAGTTGGGTCCGATTCTCATCTCGATCAAATCGGAAAATGTGGCCAATCAGGAGCACATGCGAATCCTGATGAGGCTGAGAACTGGGACGATGCACGAGCTACTGCCCGTCTCCTGTCTGATGCCCCAGCCAAGTCCGGCGAAAATGGCGCATACACTGAACGAAAACATAACGGTGGAGAACTTTATGCCCATCCTGTGCCCCAAGGCCTCGCAACTGATCAGCGTCTACGACGAGCACGTCCTCGTCTCGCACTTCAAGTTCGGAGTGCTCTACCAAAGATACGGACAGACGACCGAAGAGGAGCTCTTCGGCAACCAGCAGACATCGCCGGCTTTTGACGAGTTCCTGGATGTTTTGGGTCAGCGGATTCGGTTGAAGGAGCACAAGGGTTATAGAGGAGGGTTGGACATCCAGAATGGCCATACCGGCGATACGGCCGTGTATGAGGTCTTCAAGGAGCGCGAGATCATGTTCCATGTGTCCACCCTGTTGCCGCACACCGAGGGCGATCCGCAGCAGCTGCAGAGAAAGCGACACATCGGCAACGATATCGTGGCCATCGTTTTCCAGGAGACCAACACTCCCTTCTCACCCGACATGATCGCCAGTCACTTTCTGCACGCCTTCATCGTGGTCCAGCCCATTGAGCCGAATACCCCGCACACCCGTTACAAGGTCAGTGTTACGGCCCGCGATGATGTGCCCTTCTTCGGTCCCACCCTGCCGAATCCCGCTGTTTTCCGCAAGGGTCAGGAGTTCAAGGAGTTCATCCTGACCAAGCTGATCAATGCGGAGAACGCGTGCTACAAGGCCGAGAAGTTTGCAAAGCTGGAACAGCGCACCAGAACCTCGCTGCTACAGAATTTGTGCGAGGAACTGCGCGAGAAGACCCGCGATTTTCTGGGCACCGATCTTTCCCAGACATCGGCGGGAAGTCCCACTCCCGAGACTCCAAAGGCGGAAAGCGGTGGGGGCGGCAATGCCGGTTCCCGATTTATCGATACGGTGAAGAAGGCTTTAATTATGAGGGTGCGTTCGCAGAGTGTGGACACCGGAAATGGTCATGGACCTGGGCAGACGGACAAGTTCAGTGTGAACACCAAGCTGGGCACACTGAGCTCCAAGAAGGAGGCTCATCCCGAAATGCAGACACCCAATCTGAATGTAAGTTAAATTAGAAAATTATGATTAGAGAGCCTAAACTAATTTTGTTATTTTTTTAATAGACCTGCAGTCGCACGGCCTCGAAGTCCTCGTCCAAGTCCAAGTCCTCGAACGAGTCCACCTCCTCCTCGCCGGACATCACCTCGCGCCAGGCGAACCACAACAACAATAGCAATTCCAACGGCGGACTCCTGCCCCAAAACGGGACCGGAGTGGGCGTGGTGGCGGCAGCCGTGAGTGCCGCCCAAAACGGAGTGGTGGCGGTGGCCACCATGTCGGAGACGAGCGATGATTCCAGCCTGAATAGCGTGGACCTGGATCCGATGATGGCCCATCTGGATGGCGGAGCCACCTACATTGACAGTGATACCGGGCTGGAGAGCATGAGTTCCGCGGAGGCCACCACCAAGGCGTGCTCCTTGTGCCTGGACGGCGTCCAGTCCACCATAATGGGCAGTTCGCCCAGCAACGAGACGATCGTGAAGATCGAGAATCTTCGCCAGGAGGTCACGCGGTTGAAGTGCGACAAGCTGGATCTACTCAGACAAAATGTGGTGGGTACTTGAATTAAATTTATAGTATTTCTTGGTATTTATCCCAAGACCTTAAGTACTTCATTCATTCCATAATGTATTCCCCTTACTAATCCTATTATTTCCATTTTTTCAGACCTGTCAGCGCGACATCAAGCGACTTCGGGAGCGGGAACTCTCCCTGCAGGGCGACCTATCGGCAGCTGGCCGGGAGATCCTGCGACTGCGGGATCTTCTCAAGGAATACATGCCCGATACAGCTTCAGCACCACTCTCCATATCGCCCATCTAAGCGTAAAACGCAGACCTTTGATAGCCGATATGTGGAATATGAGGAAGGGAAGGCAGGAAAAGAGGAGTAACCACTGTGCCGTGTATAACACTTTGGAGAAAGGGATCGACAGGGATCGAGTCGAGTCGTTTGGAGAGCTGAATAGCAGACAGTTGGCGTAGCCCCCGGAAAAAAACCCCAAACAAAAACAAAAACTGTATTATATTTAGTTTACGTAGCTGTAGTTGTAGATCCCCAGGAGATCGGACAGGTTGCAGCAGGCATGCGCATGGACAAGTTATTATATTTACTACATACAAACAGTTACAAACTAAACTAAACAAAGCGATAAAACAGCAAATGAAAACAGAACACAAAACTCAAAAAAGTACACCAAATATATAATATAAGTCTTTAAGCATATTTAACGCAAGAATAAAGCCCCTAACCCTAAATCATATGCCCTAAACCAATTCCAGAACCCATCCCAACTTTAACCTAAGTAGAAAGCGATCAATCACAAAGCATCACACAGCGATCGATATTGATATATTATGATAGTAATCACAAAACACACAGAAAATAACACTCGTAGCAAAGTTTTGAGGTTTACAAAACCGTTACTCGTTCGTTAGTTGCACTCGTAAACTGTTACTATTACCGTGACCGCTACCGTGACTCTCGCTTCACATTTCATCCCCATAATGGAAGATAACTAAATTATGATCGATTTATATATATGATTTTAAAGTTAAACACTCTGCAAAAGGCACACCACGAAATAAACAAGAAAGAGGGAACTCTTAACCTTAAGTTTAAGTTGCTTTAAATACTTTTACCTAAACTCTATGTTAATTAATTATTTTCTAAGTTTAACCAAACGCAGAAACCACAACATCAGTGTGTTGATGACTCACGAAAAGAATTTGCATGCCGCATTCAGTGTACATATGTGTAGGAGCGACGTATAATTCTCGATCCGCATTCGGATCTGTCGAAATTAATTATGACTATTTTATTTTCTAATCGATTACTGAAATACCAATAACCGACAAATGAGAGCAAACGCAAAATGAAACCAAGCAAGTAGTATTTGGGAAACTAATTCCAAAAGCAAAAGTTACACGCAAGCATGAATTTTGTCTTTGAAATCTATCCGATAAGTACCGCGAATAATTGTTTTTGTTGAGATGCATTATCATTTTTATTGTGTAAAGTATAAAAAACCAACAAATATATGCAAAATATATGGAATATATAAACAATTGTAAATTGTGTTTTGAATGGAATTTAAAGGGTAATAAGTTAGTGACTATTTAAAAATAAAATTAAAGTATGATTTTCATCCACAACGAATATAGACTTATAGATTAAGGATATTCAAAGTTGTCACTCTCGTCAGACTCTCTACCATCGGAAAAAAAATTGGATTCATAAAAAAAATCATTTGATTTATATGAATAGGATACGTTCAAGTAAGCCTCATCGATAGGTTCTACCTGCAAGAACAAAATTTTCAGTTTAAAAGCTTGTTACATTAATACAATGGCTACTTACATGAAATTTCGGGAATTCGCTTTTTTCAATTAGATTAAATTTTAGTGGTCTCTGGAGTACTGGATCCCTTATTGATTTTAGAATGGCGTTTAGATCGCTTACAAAGTTTGTACCCACTTTTCCTCCACAAGCCAAATCCAATGTGACGCAATCGAGTTTTTGACAAGTTTGACAAATCGGTAATACGCAATTGCAGTCTATTTTAGACTTATTATGTTCAGAAATACGCAATGATTTAAGCTCTTTAAGTTGTCTTAGATCTGATACGTTGTTACATATGCTTTTGAAATCTATATTTAGTGTTATTAATGATTGGATTTGCGATATTTCACTAATCTCATCAGAACATGTAATCGGTGTATGCAGTTCTTGTAATTTAGACTCACTATTATGAGCAATATTTCGAAAAAGTTCACTTACTGAACCCTTTGAGTTACAAATAATTAATTCTTTAAGATTCTTTATGTTTGCTAAATCTTCTATGCCCTGCTCGTTGAGCAAGGAACATTTTAAGGACTCCAAATGCTCTAGTTCAACAATATATTTACATTGGTCAACACCAATATCGTCCCCAAGTTCCAATTTCTGAAGATTAAGTACAGATTTAAGTTCGAACACATTCCATGATATATTGAACCAATCCCTGTCTTCATAATAGCGAGCTTCAGTAGACTTTTTGAAAACTTTAATTTTCATAATATGAGCATTTCCAGTGATGTCAATATTGCTAATGGTCAGGTGCTGAACTACATTTGTAAAATTGCAAGAAAATTTAGCAACAACTTTCTGAAGAGAAGCGCTTGGAGCCCTCAAAATTAGTTCTTCAATACTCGAGTTAGCTAGCTCTGACAAGGAATGTGGATCTTCTGGGTCGATAAGATGGCATACCAGTTTTTTCAATGACTTTATTCGGGAAACCTTAAGAACCTCTTCGCGATCGAGTTCACCACATTTTATAGATCGAATAATATTCCTCTCAGCCAGTTTCGTAAAAAGTTCGGAAAGGTCTCCTTGCGTAAACACGGATATTTCCAACTCCTCCAGTTTATTTAGGTCGGCCAATTTCTCAATGCCAGTTATATCACACTGAAGGCATTTAAATATTTTAATGGATTGAATATCTGCTACCTTTGATATATCTTCAAAACGTATTGGTTGATAAATAGTTTTTGAAAAATCCAATTCTTGTAAGCTACTACAATTTTCTGCGAATACTTTTAAGAGTCGATTTAAGGATACAACATCTGGGGATCCTAAGATCTGAAGAGTGTTTATGCCATCAAGTTGTGCAAGAGATTTCGGAATATTAACCTTATGGCCGTTATCTCCAAACCAAATCTCTAAAATATTTTCATTTTTTCTAAAGGTCGTATCAAAGTCATATCCAGTTATGGTACCTCGCACCTGGCATGATGCTAGCAGACTGAAGTCTACCATTGAAGTATCGGAATTCAAATATTGCCGGACATTAATCAGCGCGTGTTGCAGGTTTGGTAGCTGACTTAAAGTCTGGATCGAATTCCCCTTTGACAAATGGCACCCCAGATATCGAAGGGTTTTTATTTTTACAAGTTCCCTGCACTCTAATTCACCAATTGATCCATAATTAATTTTGCAAGATTTTAAAGCCAATGCCTCATTTCGTGCCATAGATTTCAGGAATTTTGCAAATTCGGGATTATCACTGAAACCGGATTTATTTTGTATGATCAAACGACTTAGATTAGGCAGCTTTGATAAATTACCCAGTTGACTTATCTGCGACTCATCGCTAATCTTTAACTCCAGTTCTCCTTTATTCCTGTGAAACTCAATTTTGACATTCTGACTAAAATTTAAGGTCGTCAGAATATCCTGTGTTGAATTGCTGTCCTCCGGTATTTCATTTATGTCGTACTCGATTTTAATTACTGCATTCCGTTTAAAATCTCTTGAACGTCTATAAATATATTCACACCCATAGGGTTTGTACATGGCCAAATATCGTAATGAGTCATAAGTCGAAAATGTAATAGGACATCGGTTATATATATCGGTTAGAATATCTTCAATTTTCAATGTCAAAGGTCGAAAGCCCTTGGGCCTGCTCCATTTATTTAAATCGTTAAAAAACATCATCTCCAAACCGCTTTCGTATAAGCCAGTAATGACTACTTGTTTTAAATTGGGCAACTTTGCAAATGGTGCCAATTGGGCAGCAACGTCTCCCTTCATTAAGCCGATTTTCAGTTCCTCGAGATAAGAGCAATGGGATATGAAATCGGAAGGGTTTCCAAGGACTTGTGTGCTTTGCAAGCCCAGCTTTGTCAAATTTTCGTTTGCGTGTAAAATGTCAGCTAGGCCTTTTGCAGTAATGTTGCCGTTGAATCTTAACGTCTCTGATTTTGGGTTTAATCCTGGTGAATTACCTTAAAATAAATAAAAGGTAAATAAAGATACGTACGTATACAATAAAAATTACTTACCCTTTATATAAATGTTTACGGAAGCCTTTTTAAAACACATTTGAACGTTAAAGGGATTTCTTACCCTAACTGATTGTAGATAGGAATTCCAGAAATATTTATTTCCTTCGCTTGATTGTTTGTTGATTCGAAGATCTATAAGAAACTTCGTTATCCTGCACACAAGTGCTAGCTCAAGATCCTCGTAAAGGCGTTTGTGATGGTCCTTAAGCAACTCGACGAAAAATTCATGCGCCAATACAAAGTTAATTAAATCATTATAATCAATTGGTCTTTTGGATTTGCAGTTAGCATTTATGTATTTAATTATCTCCAAGAGACAGTCACTGTTGAGAAGAAACTCTCCGTTCTCGTCCATTTTCAGGCTGATCGGTTAATCATCAGATACCAATATGAAATGTATATTGGGTTTTGCTGTTATTGAAAATTAAAGTATTTTTAATTTTTTTATAATTTTTTTAAATTATGTTTGTAATACTTATTTAATTCAAAAACGACTCAAGAGATTAAATAATTTTTTAGCACTAATTTATCTAAGGCCCCTTGATAAATTTTGACTTTTATAGAAAGGTCTGACTTAAATTTTGAGCCTTGTAGGCAGATTGGTACACACCGGAAAAAAATCCTTACCCAATATAAATTCGACTTGTTAGCTCTAAAAACTATTTTTCTTTGGACTGCCTTTTTATATCTACTGGCTTAGCACGAACTGTAATAAGCCAGATTAGGCTTATTAACTAAGATTTCTTTGAACTTTTGATTGGTGCGACTTTACGCGTTTATTGTCTCAAGCGGAGTTTAGACTAGTATTATGCAGCACTCGCACTTAAACATAATTTAGTGTTTACAGTAGTTTATAGACAATGTGCAAACCTTTTAAGAGTAGAATAAGTGCAACTTCGCTCAAAAAAGAATCACTTCTAAAGAAAACATGATCAGCTGTTGAGTCTCGCCAATTAAGCCGCTTGAGCATCAGCTGATTGAAAATGTTTTCGTTAGCGTTGCCACTTGTTTCACTTAGCGGGGCTTTAATCCAAGCTTGAACCCCCGCTAGATCTATCATAGATTGGATTTGAAATTTAACCTACTTGGCTTTTCTACTATTTTTAATAACTCTTTTAAGCCTTAAACTATTATTTATTTGGATCTGATTGGGTCACTTGGTAAAACATAATTTCTTATCAAAAACCTACACTGTACTAGCAATATTTGGTTTTTACAAGGATTTTTTTAAATGTTGATAGTAGTAAATATAGTTTAAGTTTTAAGTAGGTACATCGATTTTCGGGCTATTTTTCACCACTATCTGACGAAGATACAAATTAATGGTGATCAAGAAAACATTTTTTGTTTTCTGCGTTCCAAATTTCTACCTGAAATGTATATAACTTTACACTTAACAGATCCCTGTTATTCAACCGATTCGGTTTAAGTCACCGCTATCTTAAACCGTTTCCCCCAACCGAGGATTGTGTCTCTGATGGTGGTGTTTTTCCCATGCCTAAGCATTTTTTAGTGTATTCAGGCGCTTTTCCTTTTTTCACTGTCGCCCCAACAATTCGCGTCCCCCAAAAATCGGTGGATCTCGTTCGCGTGTGGAGCTCAGAGCTCCGTTAGCGGCAATTTGAAAAGATATACTTCGGGCCGTAAAAATTCGTTCAAACCGCCGCTGCAAAACTGAAAAAACACCTTAAACGCCAAACGCACGTAAATTACGAATAATCAACCAGATAATAAAAGTGTGTAAACAGCTGTGTCTAGCTCATTAAAATATATTGTTTATCATCTTACGGGATGCCAGAAGGCTGCTAAAAATATTTACCGTGGGTGTTTGTGTTTTTTTGCAAAAGGCGCCCCCTAATTTTCGCCAAAGGGGCGTGGGAATTTTAGCGTGCCTGTATTGGTGACTTGTGTATAACATGGATACGAAAGAATTTCGCAGATAAATCCTTTTACAACTAATTACAGTGCTGATTAAATAAACTTGTTAAATACGGTTAAAGTATTGCTGAAAGGTGAAAGAAAAGTCGGCGAAACAAGGATAACGCATTAGTCATCACAGGCAGCGACGTCGACTGCGCAGTCGGCAGCGCATCCTGACTGCGTGTGCCTGTGTGTGTGTGTCTCTCTCTCTATTTTTAAATTTTCGCCGGTTTCCGCACAAAAACAACAACAACGGCAACAGCACAGTGGGAGAGGACAAATAACAACAACAACAACTTGTTTGCTTGATCCGTGAAAGAGAGCAAGGAAGGAGCAGGATGGAGCGAAAATTTACGCGCGGTTTAAATAAGCTCGGCTCAGCGGTGCAAATGAGAGAGAATGTCTCTCAGCTGGTGCGTGAGAGCGCGGTTTTGGTAAGTTTTTAAATTCCCTTATTACACCTGCTTATCGCCATCTCGCTCACTCCCCTTGTGCTTTCACAATTCTATTTATTCGTATTCAGCAGTGCAGTTGTTGTTTCTCGTAAATATATATATTTTTGTGAGTGGGTGTGTCTCCAGTAATGCATGTCACCTTATGTTTTGTTTACCTTCCTTTTTTGTATTTTCTCTCGTAAAGCGTGGGGTGTTTGTATGCAGGCATTATAAATAAAAGAGAAATTATATAGAATTCGTCTGAATGCAAATGACTTTGTGTGTTGGGCGTTATTTGACAGAATTTCCCACTCTGAATCGCACATTTTCCTTTATTGCAACACAGTCCTAAACATACAGTTGTGGTCAAGATGTTAATTTAAATTATAAAATATTTGGAAATATTTTTTTTTTTTTTAATCGTTTTTATTTGTTGAAAATTATCTTTTATTTAAAAGTACCACTTGTTTAACAAACATCAAATTTATATGTCGATTGTGATTAAGTATTTTTTTGACCTATGCTGTACACATGGGCATGTTTTCTTATTTGGTTGGCATACATCCAAATACTTTGAATTTTAATAATATTTTCTTTTCACTTAGCACATATCATCGAGATCATAGCGTTTTATAAGGCAACGTATTTCCATTAGTTGTTGCATAAGAGAAGTCAACAATAAAATAGTTCTAGGAAAAGGGAAAACTTGTTCTTTATCTCATCGTAATTTTTTTCTTGGGTGTTGTAGATGAGAGACTCAAGAGACTCGATGTCGGTTTCTGAAGATTTTAGAAGAGAGGCCCCAAGAGAGAAGAATGCTTCAAGGCCGTGAGATTTAAAATTCCGGCAGCTTCCACTTTTGTTTATATTCATGTTGAGCGATAATGATGTTCGCTGTGGAATAAACACAGTAAAAATTCCCTAAGGGTGCTGTTTTGAGTGAGAGTAATATTTGATAAGGTCTCTAGCCACACATAAATATTTTAATCGCATAAAGTAAATTCATTTTAAACATACAACAACTTATGTTAATTATTTTTTTGAGAAAAACTTTTTGAATGGTCTTTTTAATTATGGAATGTTTACATACTTAAGGTGTGGAAGACACAGAAGGTCGAATGTATGTATATATTTTAGAGACATTTGACTGTGTTTCTGTAAATAATTTAAACAAGCATAAGCCTAGGGTGTGACTTCATTTTTTGGGGGCTTCGCCCACGTGTTGCCGTCTGAATAGATATCCGTATCTACTCATCTCCCTCTATTGATAGTACCCACTAATTGCATTATTACGGTCCCAAACGAAAATCATATTACAGCCGTCATTAGCCACGCTTCCAATGTCAATTAGAGTGTGTGTGGTTCTCGTTCCTCCTTCGCGTACTCCTAATTCAATTAGTGCGTAAAGTGAGAGTCGAAGCCAAAATGATAAGCAATTGTTGACTTACAGCGGCAATCAACAGGCCGACAGGCAATCAAACCATAATAAGCAACTGTCGATAGATAGAAATGTAGCTTCACCACCAATAAAAAGAAGAGTGGTTCGGCGGTTGAGTGGGTTGCAATGAGTGGTCCTCCTCGTTCAACCTGTAACGGGGTTTTGTACACTTCAAATGACAGTCTTTTTTGGTAAATTTCTCCCCCTCCAACCACATTAATTAAATATTTCGTCGGTTTAATGTAGTTCAGCGGGTCAAACTAATGGAGTTCCATATCCAAAAACATCAGTTCATTACTTAACCATAAGTTACATTGTTTTTTGGTTAATTTTTATGGCTCGCTTTCGGTTTACAAATGGAATTTTGTTTATGTGTTTTTGCCTTGTTTGTTTAAATACTTGTTAACTTATTGCCGCGCACATGTGCGGCATTTTGTTATACGATATCAGAGTAAATATCAAATGTGTGGTTTGCGTTAAAAATAATAGGGGTCTCAGAGAGGGAATCTGAAAGGGGCGACCGAGTAATTGAAAAGGTCTGGACTGGATGGAATTTCTTAGCATCAGCGATTTGCGACTTTGAAATGTATTTCGTTTTCCAATGGAATTTACATAATATAAGGTGAAGGAAACTTTAAGTAGTTAGCTAGCTACCAGCTGTTGAATAATTCAAACTCAAGGCTCTTTAGTAAAATACTAACTTAATTTAAACCATTAGAAAGTGTTTAAAAAATAGGCAGCCTTGATTTAGTATTTTTACATCCGCTTGTGTATTGCAACTGCAAAAAATGTTTGAATTGAGTTCTACAGCATAATTTTCGCACAATGTGATCCCCACAAAAAACCCGGATGATTTATGAGAATGAATTAGTTTTTTTTGTATCCCAATTCGGAAAGAATTTCAAGGCAGCTTCTACCTTTTATGTCATGACCTCATCTCCCAATTATGCTGAGCACCTCACTGCTATATAAAAAGATACACACTTTACTGAAGAGGTTCCTTATAAGTCGCAGAAAACGAGACCCAATTTTTAAATCTTAAAAATAAATAAACGGTAGTGGAGATTTGGCAAAATCGATTGTTATTCTTCATTTGTCTGATCAGTTATACTGTAATTACATTTTACATTATATAGCAAATTTGTTTAAGTGCTTATCATATTTATATTGTTTACTATGCTAGCTCTAAAACTTTCTGGGAATTTCCTCTGTTTAATGTTATTTTTATTGCTTTTGAAAGCTTCACGTGCAAAGTGCCCAAAAAGGGGTAAGAAGAAAATGTGTACTAGGAAGTGGAGTAGGTAAAATGGTCATGGCTCGAGTGCTCTTTTCGACTGACATTACCTTTTTGACATTGTGACATGTGGGGTGTATGCAATATTTAAAGTATTTTTAGTATTATGATTTTAAAAACGGATTTATTTTAAGATTATATTTAAATGTAATGTATTTAATTTACTTAAGATAATATTTAAAATTGTATTTCAGAAATCTTGTTGCTTGCCCATGCGTATGTTACTGTTAAACGTTTTAAGAATTGTATAAGAATTATTATTTTACAAGCCAAATCAGTTGTTTTTTTTATTCCAGGTCATTATCTATTCGTAAGCCACATATAAATGTAGCCTATTTAATTTTATTGTGCTTTTATTGTTAGTAGCTTGCTCTTTTTGCGCATCTCCTCTTTATTGTTTGTTTTCTGTATTCCATGATTCTATTCTGTGTGTCGGTCACCGTTTTTTCCTATTCCCCGCCGGAAATATCGTTTCGCAACTTTTATTTTTTGTTTGAGCTTTTCCCCGAGTTGACGTGTGTTGTCTGCGATTTAATGAGCGCCACTCTGCTCCGATTCTGTTTGTTCGGCGGGCGTGCTCAACATATCATGGTCATCTAACCGTATCCCTCATCCGATCAACCTTTGGCTATTAATAACAGAGCTTGTAATACTGACCCAAACATTTCCCCCTCTTTTTCTCTATCATTTTAGATGAACTGCACTGGCCGCTATCAGCGTAGCCTCTCCATTGCGGTAAAAATATATATTTTACGATAAAATATATGCTCTGAAAATATAAAATGTTGTAAAAATGTTCTTCGGCTGGTTTATAGAGATTTAACAAAAATGTATTGTGTGGAAGCAGTTCTTATGGTTTTCAACAAACATATAGCC